TAACATATGAAGAGGTGAGGGAGGCTGAGGCAGTGCGAAAGTCAATACAGAGGCATCGTGGCGGGTGCAGACAAAAAAAGAGCTAAATTAAACTGCGTGAGTGATAGGTGAACCAGTAAAGGTGGTGGCAGGCGACGGGGAGACTTGAAGATATAAACGTTCCCACTGCTTCAGATAATTTGAAGTTTTGTAGATGAGAACGGTGTTTAGGCCAGACTGCTAGCCGCCTATGTGGGTGTGTCGGGGGAGCCAACGAGATGTGATCTTGTAAAGATATTGTTATAATATAAACATTAGGGTTGTGGCTCTGCCAGCTTTGCGTCTGGTAGTTTATTTTCCATAGTCATGAAAAGTCACTGTGTTTAGACTGAGTATAGCCATCTGTCACAATCTGGGGTTTGACTGTGGATTCTAGCTTTATTTTTCTTTGTAGGATCTCCTCTGTCATGTTTGTTAATGTTTAGCTTTTTTCCCCTGTTATCTGAACTTTCTTCTACGTGTCTGCATGTGCTTTTTAAACCTCTCATTGCCATTTTTATTTTCTTGTGCAATAAGGTGGAATAATGTGTTTGCAATTTTCTAGAGATATCTTTTCACTGGTCAGTTAGTGTTTGGGATATAAAAGGGATCAAGTTAACATTTTGTCCTCAAAGTTGATGCGACAGAAGGAGGATAAATGTGCAAGGGTGAGGATTTGAGTGCCTTTGATGAGGGCTAAATTGTCAAGGCCGATTGACTGGGTCCGAGCATCTCCAAAACTGCAGCTCTGGTGGGGTGTTCCCAGTCTCCAGTGGTCAGTGTATCTACCAAAAGTGGTCCAAGGAAGGAATGGTGGTGAACCATGTGCTGCTGGTTCTGATAGAAAGGTGCCAGAATACAGAGTGCATCACAGTTTGGTGCATATGGGGCTGCATACCAGCAGACCAGTCAGAGTGACCATGGAAGAAGGTGGCCAGGTCTGAGGAATCATGCTTTTCCTTGGAAGGCCAGGTGTGTGTGTGTTGCTTACCGGGAGAATACCTGGCGCCAGGGTATAATATGGGAAGCAGGCAAGCTCTCTGAGGCAGTGGGATGCTCTGCTTGGAATCCTTGTTTCCACATGGACCCTACTTTGACATGTTCTACCAACCTAAGCATTGTTGCAGACCACGTGCACGCTTACAAGGTTTCCCCTGATGGTTGTGACTTCTTTCAGCAGAATAATGCGCTCTGGCACAAAGCAAAAATTGGTCAGGAATGATTTGAGGAGTACAACAATTAGTTTGAGGTGTTGGCTTGCCATCCAAATTCCCCAGATTTCAATTCAATTGAGCATCTGTGGCATGTGCTGGAGAAACAAGGATCTGTTGCTAACATCTTGGTGCCAGATACCACAGCACATCTTCAAGGCTCTAGTGGAGTCCATGCCTCGATGGGTCAGGCCTGTTTTGGTAGCAAAAGTAATTTGATGCTTGGTTTGTGTTTTTTATGTTTTTGAACTTATGTTAATCTTTTGAGTTAGCTCTAAGCTGTGTATCGTATTTACTCAGTTACAGATAGATGACAGATACATATACAGCTGTGCATTTAATGTCTGCCTCCATGTGTCTCCATGATTTTGTCTTCAGCTTTCACAATTTAACAACTTGGAGGGATATCATTAAGGGACAGGTAGGTTGGGATTGATGAAATCATCATTTAAAAGCTATGTATTTACGCAGGATATATTTTTCGGATATTAAAATTTGCGTGATCATCTGAAACATAATGCCACAGCAGCAGTCTCATTATATCTTGACAGTTTTGATATTGAAATTAATATTCATAATGTAATTGTTGCTCAAACTCATCAGTAGGACATATAAATCACACTTATTTCTAGATTTTTGCCCTGTGGATAAAAATAAAAGTCTTCATCCTTTTGCTTTCCATCTGCCAAAGTAAAGTTAATAGTCCCATTATAGTTAATGGATTGTTCTCATAGTTTATCCAGGGCATCCTTTTGCCTCTCCATTGTCTTTGGTTTCTGGGAAGCTGCTAATGGGACGCCAGCAAAGGATTAGGTAAACTGTTATGACTAAAAACAAAAGAGTGTCCTGTTAACAACAACAGCAAACAGACAGGAGAAGAATGACAAGGAAAGAATAAACAAATAAGCACAGACATTTTCACTTTGTCACAAAAATGTAATACAAAGAATGAAAGTTTGAAGAATAGAATCTGATATGTATTTTTCAAACTTTGTGTTTTAAGTTATTTAGGTATTACAAAACGGGGTGATTAAATGCAACGCGAATAAATCTGTTATGCAGTAAATGCAAAACTAATCAGCTGCTGCTAACAGCCACTTTACTGCCTTACCTTAAAGGAGGGTGTAATCAGTGTAAGTGCAAGCAAAGTGGATTTGGACTCCCAAGTGCTTTCTAATCAGCCTAGATCAAGTTCGCATGAACATATGATTGAATGCTTTTGTTGCACACGTTCTTTCCTAACCACAGACACGCTGCCGCACCTGAGCCCAAGTGAAAAAACCTTCCCCATTAGATTCAACTATTTTTAATACTTGCTTTTTGTTGCAAAAGCAATACACTGTTCAATGGTTAAAACAGATTTGTTTTCAACATGATATATGGATATAATGGATAACACACATGCATGCGCTTTGCTGACTGATCCTGCAGAGAAACAGGAAGGAAATGTTTGCTTATGCACAATCAGCTGATGACCGCAACAATGTTTCCTGTTCTAATGACCTTCTGACTGTACTGCAGGTCCACTGTCAGGCTGCAGTAACGTCTGTAGTGTATGAATGAGCCATTCATAGTGGCTTGCTGGAAAATGAGGATATCCACAGATGATTTATCAGAAGAAAGCAAGCTCAGCCAAGGGCATGATTTACCCAAATACCAGTCTGTTAATCTGTCTGCAGCCATAACACACCAACACAGAGCCGTCAAAGTATAGCGGTCTCAGTTTGAGGGTGACAGATGGTCACATGCTGCCATCAGCTGGTCAAAACATATACAGCACTTTTGCTGGTTGTATAAAAATGACTACTTACTGCAGTCATCCGTAAATAAGTCAGTGTTAATGGGTTAAAAATCTTTTTAAAGGCTACGCAATTAGCTTGAACACTAAGTAACTTGAGGGATATTTCTCCAGGCTTCTCGAAGAGCATTCAAAGCTCTTCTTTGGATGTTGGCTGCCTTTTACTCTGTTTTCTGTCCAGATGATCCTACACTGCTTTAGTAATGCTAAGGTCCGAGCTCTGGAGAGGCCAGTCCATCACTGATAGTGTTCCAATGTTCAGCATTGGTAGAGTGTTACGGATCATTGTCATGCTGAAAAATGCCAAACACCTTCCAGATGGTATTGCATGATGGATCAAAATCTGATTGTACTTTAATGCATTTACAGTTTTATCAGTTTTGACAAGATCCCCAACACCACTGGCTGAAATGCAGCCCCAAACCATGACAAAGTCTCCACCGTGTTTTACACATCGCTATGAATAACTGTTCGTATTAATCACTAAACCTGATGGTTCATGATTTTTGCTCTAGTTCTTGTGTAAATTGGCATACGTCATTCTTTTCTCTTTAATTCCTTGATTAAGAAAGGCTTCCTGACAGCCATCTTTCCACTGAGACCATTTCTGGTGTGTTGACAGGGCGCACACAGCTAAAGGGGAGGACAAAACAAAGACGAGGGTGACACTACACACAACATAACAAGGGGATATGACGCTCGAAACAGCCGTTTCGACACTGTGCTGAACTTCTTAAGCGGGGATGTTTCCAAACGCTTCTCCGAAGCGTGAGTCAAAACACCCAGATCACGTGACCACGCCTAGGATTTGGTGATCCAGTTCCTGCTTCTAGACATATCCAAGCGCAAACTCCCATTTTTTATTAACCAGAATCATTTGGACTTGTAATTACTGAATCAATGTTTTTTGAAGCGACAATTTTAATTAAATATGCGCATGCGTAAAAGAAAACAATACTCTATTTCATGGATTGTGAAAACTAGACAGAAGATTCTAGACTATCTAGAACACTATATAAGTATACAAAACCTATGTAATTTATATATCACAATATATAAATATCTTTTTTGAATGATTACTAGAATATAGATTGAAGAAAGCAAGAAGGAAAGAGACTGGTGGGTGAGCTCCATTCACTCCTATAAGCAGAAAGAGAGAGAGTTGCACACTTTCAACAGAAAATGTCATTTGTGGCATTAAGTGACTCCTCAATATATTTTTTTTTGGGGGGGCGCTTTAAAAAAAAAAAAAATTCTCAAAAACAACTGGAGTTATGCAGGTTCACTATAACCAAAACTCCAGACTCACACTGAGTAAAACACAGTGTTACAATATGGAAAATCCATAGCAGTGTAAAGTTCGGGAAAGCTCCCTCATGGTTAGAGGTTGCTAAGCAGAGGATGAGTTAAACATGCCTGAAATGTATTTTTCCGATTGGTCAGAAAATGTGATCGACGTTAACTCCCAGAAAACTCAAACAAATATATCCAAAGTTTGAGGGCTGTGAGCAAAAAAACGAAGACAGCTGAACCCAAAACAGCTGTAATCCTGTGTGACTATTACAGTAAATACGGCAGTGTTTTCCCTCTGTTTTACTTAATGAATAGATTTATGGTGAAGAACGCGAACGTTAACAGATGGAGAATTTTGCTGATGACTACAGTCACAGATTGCGGTGTTTAACAGTCTCAGATTTTTTTTTCCTTGTTTTGGGGGAGATTTCTCCAAAACGTGATGATCAATTACTGACGGTTTGGTATAATAAGTAGCTTTGTTTGGAATCGTGCAGGGTTTGCCTGCGTCGTTGTTTCACAGAAAAATATCGAGATGTGGCGATAGCAAAGTGGGCCAGCAGGTGTCACTGTTGAGATGGAGTTCAGTGTTTCACGAAGCCTTGCTTTGCCCATCACTAGGGATGGGAAACAGGTGGGAACACAGATGTCAACAATCAAGAGAGACAAGACAGGACAAGAAGTTGAATCACAGACAGATAAAAAAAACTACAGACAAGGCATGAGAAGACAGAGGAAGCATGAAAACTAAAACGAGGGACAGAATACAAAACAGCCTTAACTGAGAACAGGTCAGTAAAAATAAGAAGACCTCAAGCTAGAAACACAAAACACAGAGAGAAAACTAATGAGAACCAGAACTACAGGCTAATCACTGAGGAATTACAACTAACTTGACACAAAGGGATATGAGACAAGAGACAAAAATGGCACTAGACCAGTCATGGAAATTCAAGGGATACAAGGATCAGAAATAAACTAAAACCCCAGATCTAGATGTGAAACAAACCCTTTGAATATCAATATACAGAAGAAATCCTGAAAATTAACAAAACTGAAAACACTGCATCCTAAACAGAGGGATCCTAACATCAACAAACTGGGATTAATTGATTTCATCTCAGGTTCCGTGTCAGTGTTTTGGTGGGTTAAACAGCCTTACATACTTTAACATGATAAACTAATTATTTTTTTCCACAAGAGCTTGGTCTATACATTTAATTTTTAAGCAACATAAGGAACACTACACTGTTTTGGGGTTTGTTTGTTTTGTTTTGTTTTTAGTTAGTGTTATCATTTTATTGCCATTATCGAGGCACTGCAGGCCCATAGAAGTACAAGGCACTGTAGTTGATGTGTTTTCTTTTTTTACGTTTGCACTCTTATGTCTTCCACTTGTTCAGTTTCCTCAACTTTTTTGAGGAAACACTGAACAGCATGCCGAAATCTGCCAGATTATCTGCTAAAAACTCTTTGGGAATAACCATTTGTGGCTAATAATAATATTAATATTTTATACCAGTGGAACTGTCTCTCATGGCATTTTTTTTTTTGTTTTTTTGTTTTTTTTGGCAAATTCAAACACAAATTATGTGTTCAAGCTACAGGCCGCTATTAACAAAGTGCTTAAAGATGCAACTAAAAACGGTTTCTTTGCTAAACTGATGTCATGTGTGGACACAACACCCTTGAGTTAGGTGCCTGATTCATAGGTCTGTGTCAAGTTGTTCAACCAATCAGGACTGGACTGAAAACAAGTGACAAAAAACTTCGAGTGTCTGGCTACGTCGAAGCAAACTGTATATAAATGAGGTAGGCTAAATGCTTTTTCATATATTATTCAGAAAATAACCTATGAAAGCCTATGTAGAGAAGTAAAATATAAAGCTATAAAAGACTGCTGTTATCGTTATTGTTGTTGTTGTTGTTGTTATTATTAGTGGTAGTACGCCTTTGTCACCAAGATTGCGCAAGAACTGACCGAATATCGCAGCACTAGGAGGAGTGAATAAACTGAGATCTTTTTAGAGCCTCGAGAAAAGAATAAAAGAAAAACCTGTTTCAATTTCCTTCCTCGGACCTGCCCACCCGTGCCTGCAGCCCACCTTCACGAATCGAGCACACCTATTAGGGGATGAGACTCAAACTTCCACGTTAACCAATCAGCTTTCTCGTTCACCGACGGCCTAGCAGTTGATTGGTTGAAAATCCAGCTTGTCAAGTCTGACTGCACTTGGACATTTCCGCCTTGTTATGTTTTGGGTTTTTTTTAACTACAGGGGCTTCCTATGAACATTGTGGGCTTCGTGTGGAGGTGAATCAGTGATCAGTAACTAATTTCGGGTTTTGATGAGGTACTTGAGTCTCGGTGACTTCTGAAATCCAGAGACATGTCGTCTTTAAGGTAAGCAGACTTTACATAAACCTCAAAATCCCTCAGTCTGAAAGTTTTTGAGTTTGTGTTAAGGCTGCATGATCGATAAATAAATAAAATTACGTCGGGTTATTTATTAATACGTTACGTTAGACTAGATTGTTGTTGATAATATTTTCTTTGCTGCGGGTTGTTGGAAGTTGAAAGAGTTTTCTGTTAAGTTACAGTTGTGTAATTGCGTGTTTTGCCATATCACTCCTGTGTTGCTGATTGTGACATTAAGTCTGCTTTCTCAACATCCCAGAAATGTCTTCCGGCGCAGCTGGTCTTGTGATGAAAAGCTGGAGGGAAAAGTTGTTGTCATCACTGGAGCAAACACTGGCATCGGCAAAGAAACTGCCATTGATCTAGCAAAGAGAGGTTCGTCTGACTGAAATCATGAAATTTTAAACCTTTCTTAACTCTCAACTGTTTTTTTTTTAAAGTGGGGATTATTTGTGTTACGTATCAGGATATGGAATTAGGAGGAAAAGGGAAATATTAGCAGGAAATGTTGACTTTTAGATGCACAGATAAAAGACTACAATGAAGTAAACCTTGGAGGAAACACGTTCAAACCCCACATAGAAAGGCCTCACCTGACCAGCAGGTTCAAGGTCAGGACCTTCTTGCTGTGAGGCCACATTTGGATCCATTGCACACTCTGCTGCCTCTAAATTGGTTGCAGGTGCGGACGTGAATTTGGTTAAGATAGATGGATGGATGTTTCTGGCCATCCGTTGAGTATAAATCCATCCAGGGCATGGCGTGCCTCTCACCCTGTTCCCCCATAACCCTGAAGTGGATCAGCAATGGGGATCATAGTTACACACAAGATTTTGATAGTCCTAAAAGTTGGGAAATAATTTTTTTTACTGCTGACAGTGTGTGCTTGTGTTAGATGCCTGTCCAGGGTTTACCCCGCCCTATGTCAGTTTGGACAGTCTCAATAGCAGTTGCCTCTGCCACCATGAGTCCTCCCTAGTTATTGCTAAGCTCCAATATAACCACGCCGTGCCATCAAGAAAATGATTACGATAAAAACTGTTTATTTAAACACAGATCTGCCAGTATTGATTCTCCTGTAGATAAATTATAAGGAAGGCTAACACAAGTTCTATTGTTCTGTGTAAATTCTGAGCATGACTCAGGCGTGGCAATCCTCCACTCCCATGATGTTGGTATCATTGTCGTGCAACATGTGGCTGTCAGGAAAAGTAGCTGAGTAATGGAACAATTTGGAACCAGTTCCTGATTTAGATCTTTAGGCACAGTTCTTGTTTGATATAGTAAAATACAAGGACAAAATGAACTCAGACACAGAGCATGAAGCAATGTGTTAGTGTGTCTTAATTAGAAGAAAAAATGAATAGTAGTGGACAATTATTCAACAATAAGAAGCTGAATTTTTGCACCTACCTTAGTGGGTCTTCTTACAGTCATTTTATTAAATTGTCTTGTTTTGTCAGAACAAAAATATTAGTTACACACAGCCATTCACTCTTATAATGAAAAGGCTGTTTTCAGTGGTCACTTTAGTAGTTACACCTGTTCAAGTGCTTTTTCAAGCAAATATCTAATGAGCCAGTAACATGGCAGACAGCAGTATTAATGTTAATTAATATTTTAAAAAAAGTATTTTTGTATGTGGACATGGCTGAAAAGGCCAACTTTGGTATGTGGTGTAACAGGAGAATTACACAATTAAGGTTCTGCCCAGAAATTAGCAATTGTGTGCTTTTCATTTCGACAGCAGTGTCTGAATAATGTTTAATCTGGGAAGGGTTAAAACGCCATTTCCAAACAATACGAAGTCCCTTATTTTATACTGAGAAAGATTATTAAAAAATATTCAGGACAGTTGCCAATTTTCTCAGGAGTGGATGTCTCAGAAAATTAGCGCCAAGGTTCAGTTCAGTTCTTTTTTTATTTCAAACATATACATTCACCAACGTTTCATAAAATCATTCCATACAGTTGTTTGAAAAGGAGTAGGCAGAAGTATATACTTATTTTGCCCTACCCCCTCAGGTTTACATCCTCATCATCTAAATTTGAACAACAAAAATGTATACAATGCCTTCAACTTAGAACATAACATCTCAAAAAAATATTTTCACATGTTCAACTAAAACTATATTTAGATTTGCTAATTTGCAGAAGAAAATAAACATGAGTTTGACTGCTGTCTTGGGTTAATTGCATTTTCTTGATTCTTATACTTATTTAATATTTCTTTTTTGAGTTGTATTTTAAACTGGTTTATATCACTAGTGACCTTTATTTCTTCTTTTAACTCGTTCCAGATTTTAACTCCCGCTATTGAAATAGACATCCTTTTCAATGTTGTTCTTACTCTTTGTAATTTTAAATTCCACTTCCCTCTAAAATTATACCTCCCTTCTCTTTCTAAGAACCATTTACTTATTTCGATTGGGAGCATCCCTTTCCTTACCTTATATATTATTTGCACTGTTTTAAACTTCACCAGATCCTGGAATTTTATAGCTTGCATCCTAATAAAGAGTGCGTTTGTGTGAGCCCTATACCCCTCCTGATTTATTAGTCTAATGGCCCTTTTCTGCATTATGATTATAGTCTGAATATTACTTGTATATGGCGACCGTGGCTCAGGGGGTTGGGAAGCGCATCTGTAACCGGAAGGTCGCCGGTTCGATCCCCGGGCTCTCTGTCCTGGTCGTTGTGTCCTTGGGCAAGACACTTTACCCTACCGCCTACTGGCGCTATATAAGTCCAATCCATTATTATCATTATTATTATTATTATATGTATTTCCCCAAACCTCTACACAATAACTCATGTATGGTAATAGTAAAGCACAATATAACATATACAATGTTTTCCTATCCAGAAACTGTTTTACTTTCCCCAAGACAGCAATGCCCCGTGCTAACTTTCCCCTCACATAAGTGATGTGTGATTTCCAACAGGCCTTTTGATCAGTGATCACACCAAGAAATCTTATGGCATTAACCCTTTCTAGATATATATTATCGACACAAATTTCAATGTTAATGTTTTTCTTATAGTTTCCGAATAACATAAATTTTGTTTTATTTAAATTTAAGGACAATTTGTTTCTATCAAACCACTTGTTTAATATCTTCAACTCCTGTGTGATCACCTCCGGTCATGCAAGGTCATGCAAAGCTCAGAGAAATTGCAAAAAACCCAAGAGCTACATCTCCAACTCTGTGTTTCTTTGCTAGACATGCTGTGGTGCTGCTTGTTTGTCGGTCTTTCTGCCTGTTACTTTAAAAAAAAAAATCTTGCTTTTGCAGTTCACTATATGTACTACAAAAGCATACGTGACTATATGTGCCTTTGGGTATCTCAGACAGATTAGTTTCAGTTTTTTTTGTGTGTTTGTCTTTTCCGAGAAATGTGGTTGTTTCTGATATCTTAAGTGATTATTGGTCTTTCTTACTGTCCCCATTAAAAGCTTCGCAAGTTATGAAAAATGTAATGTGCACATTTTGTCATGAGAGGGCACTCTCCACCCACTGAACTACACCTTGCTTTTATGTATTTTCGCCATGCATTCAGTGCATGTGCTGTTTTAACTCCCGTCTTTTATTTTTCTTTGTAGGGGCAGAAAAGGTGATCATAGCATGCAGGGACATGGAGAAAGCAAACGCAGCCGTGAAAGACATCATCGAAAGCTCAGGCAATGAACATGTCGTTTGCATGAAACTTGATTTGTCAGACAGCAAGTCTATACGAGAATTTGCTGAAGCCATCAACAAAGGTAAAATGATTCTCTGGCTAAAGAAACATCCATGTGAACACACATGAAAAGTTGCATATTTTTAAACCCCCCCCCCCCTTTATTTTTTTCTTTTACTTTTTTCTACAGACGAGCCAAAGCTGAACATCCTCATCAACAATGCAGGTGTGATGGTCTGTCCCTTTGGGAAAACAGCTGATGGTTTTGAGATGCAGATCGGTGTCAATCACCTGGGTAAATAAAATCAGGCCTCAGTCACACCTGGCCTGACTTATACATTAGTACCGACTAATCCTTCTCCAGACTTTTTGATTTGGGGGGAGAGATTTGACAAATGAAGTTGTACCCAAAACAATTAGCACGTCCCAGGACATTTCCAAGATTTCTTTAAATGGGGTGAAAGAAATCAGAAAATAATATCTCAGGTAAAACTCAAACGGAAGCACACAAAACTGGTTGAAAATTCTTTAAAAGGTTTTTAATAGAGTTAATAAATTACAGTCTGCTTATGACAGGAAATATTTAATTTTACTCAGTGGTACAAGTAAATAACAGTGCCTCACATCCTAAATGACTCGAGGAGTGGTAGGCAGTGGCTTCAAACCACTCTGACCCACAGTGCTATGCAAAAGTCTTAACCCACACCTTCCACTTCCACTCCCTTCTATATATTCTTCTCCCAAGGAAGCAGACTTTTGTATTTTTATTATTATTATTTTGGACCTATAAATCATTCAAATATAAAAACTGACTCAACTTAACAAAGAGCCACTTTCAAATAGTATCTTTTGCCACTTTTATTTTGCAAACAGTCTGTCACAGTAACACATAATTTCTTCCCATTTGTTAGCTCTATCTGCAACAAAATGCCAAAGATGACACAATTTGACAGGCATACAACAAGGTGATTCCCAAACATTTAAAAGTCAAAAACTTACTATGAGCATTGGCCCAAGACGTTTTTTTTTTTTTTAATGGTATCGTATGAACTTGAGTGCAATTTCCATCCGTGGCTGCATTAACATGTCAACACAATTTTGAGGGTTGCGTTCAAATTTCAGGTTGGAGTAGTCCCACCCCTTTTGACTTGCCCCTCCCATCAGCTGTCAAATCCTTCAAAAGGTCACAAATGCATAGAATTTTTCAATACTCATTTCGTGATGTTGAAGTTGGATCTGACGCTTAAGCCTAAATGCAACACTTCTTTCATAATCAGCATTTTTATGACTTTACTGCAGAACAGTAAAGTTTAAGCACATGCTTTAGATATGACAGACAGACATGAAGTAAAAGGTCAACTTCCTGCGACAATATGTCCTGATTCCAGCTTTTGGAATCAACTGATTCCGGAACCACTGATCATCAGTTGAAATGTTGTTTCCAACATGAATTTGTGTTAACTGACCATTAACATAATGCAACACTGGACAAACATGAGATGTCTCACCAAAATTTTACACATCACAGGTGTCCTCGTGGTTATTATAGAAATGTAGTTTTTAAAAAAGGGTTTTGCCCTTTTAATTATATTTAGGAAAATAACTTCACACATAAGTCTGATAAACATGCCCCACCAAAAGAAACAGACTCAAAACTTTTAACTGACATCTCGCACTTTTTAATTTGATGTTTTTGTGCAGAATTAGTGCAGCAGGATAGCATTCCTCTTGAAATAACAGGAGCCCCTTGTGTTGTTTGTTATTTAGTTTAACGTAATTAAAATATAAGCTGTGGGTGGTCTTTGTAACACATTCTGTCTTATGGTATTTATTTGATGTAGTACATTTATTGTGAAAGTCTTTACCAAGTTAAGGTAAGTATTTTGGTAAGTACAGTATTTCGTAATTAGTGAAGTGTCACTATTTCCAAATACCTTACCCTCACTCTGTTTTCTGAAACTGAAAATTGGATTTTTAAGTCATATTTCCTCCTCCTCCAGGTCACTTCCTGTTGACATATTTGTTGCTTGACCTGATTAAAAAGTCGGCACCAGCTAGGATTATCAATGTATCTTCCATGGCTCACGCCTGGGGCTCCATAAATCTAGAGGACCTCAACAGTGAGAAGCATTACAACAAGAATAAAGCCTATGCTCAAAGCAAGCTAGCCAACGTCCTCTTCACCCGATCACTGGCTAAACGATTAGAAGGTAAATAATGCACCTTACACGCTGTCATTTCTTTCTTTTAATTTGCCAGTTTTCTGTTCAAATCAAATGCATGACTAGTAGCTTTACTGTTGGTGATTTCATTCACTTTTTCCTTACTTTTAGGCACAGGAGTGACGACCTACTCTCTCCATCCTGGAGTTGTTCAGACTGAGTTAATTCGTCATCTGAATGGTGTCCAGCAATTCTTCATGAAGATGGTCAGTCCTTTTACCAAAAACTCTGTCCAGGGAGCGCAGACAACAATTTACTGTGCTGTTGACCCATCATTAGAGAAGGAGAGTGGCAGATACTACAGGTACACTTTTGCTGTAACACACAGAAATTATATTGCAGCTTGTTACACATAATCTAGTAGCATATTAATACAGTGGCTTTCAACACTTAGTAGTTTTAGACCAATGAAAGGTAAACATGATGTTTAACTCATCAGCTCAGAGTAAAGAGTACTTTCTCAGATTTTGCAATCTGGAAACTAAATCAGATGAATAGTAAAGATATTTGCCATGAAGCAGTTATTTAAAGGTGTGAAATATGAAGCGAGATAAATGTCCAGTTAAAGTCAGAGTTTTCTGTGTCCCAAAAGTGTCTCTCTTTTAACCTGGACAAATCACTGTGATGACTTAAGCTGAAAACATGTTCAAGGTTTTAGTGAAAAATGTAATGCATTTAATACCATGTTTTAAATGCAATATAGATTCCCTGGTAGGTGAATACATGTCATATGTGGAACTTAGACGTGAATTACTAACATCACAAATGAAGCTAAGCTGCAACGTTACAGCAGTGTAAACTGTGCAGATATTGTCACCTGAATGTGCTTCAATTCATTTGGCAATGCAGAAAACGTATGCATGTTTGTATACTTGATTCAAATCTGCTGCAAAGTCTCATTTTACACTCCTGGCAAAGCAGCTCCTAGAACACATAATAGAATAGGATTTCCTCATTGTTACAGTAACATTTACAACAAAATTAAGTGCAATCTCAAGAGTGTAAAGATCATTAACAGCAGTCTATAAACTGTAAACTATAAACTGAAAAAAAAAAAAAAAAAACTATGTAAGATAAATAATACAAAAGCAACCTGTCTCTATTCTCTCAAATTGCACAACCCCTAATTACACCGATCACATTCAAGTGGACATTGTAGCATTTTAATGCTTTTTATAGCTCTGAGAAAAAAACTGCTATTCAGTCCTTCTGTCCTTTCTCTAACTGCACTGTCTGGCAGATGGTAAGAGTTCAGCAAGTAGGTGACCAGGGTGAGATGTATCCATTATGAAATTTTTAGAATGAGAATCACTTTTATTGCCAAGTTTGTACACAGTGTCATGGTGCAAAAAATATTGTTAAGGTTCAAATATTAAGGAAGGAGAGTACAAACAACCATGGTCCAGAAGAGCTTGGTCAAACAATTGATTTTAATGAAATACACGCGTGGGAAGATCACTCCGTACGCAGACAGCAATTGATCTTCGACTAATCAAAGCATAAGCGGATATTTTATACCATCAGGGTTTGAATTTAATGACGCCCCCTCATGCGTCATCAGATACAATATATGCATACGTCAATTCAAAACCACAATGACTTTTAACACAGTTTGAAAAGAACATTGTCTCCGTCTTCATGGCAGATGTTTCCTGTCAACCTTTTGACTGCCGCTTCTCCAAACCCGCAGTTACAAGCAAACATGCTTAACCTCTCACCTATCAATGATTCTCTCTCTCTGTCTCTGTGTGTGCGTGCGTGCGTGCGTGCGTGTGTGCGTGCGTGCGTGCGTGCGTGTGCGTGTGTGTGTGTGTGTGTGTGTGTGTGCGTGCGTGCCTTACATGCTCTCTCATCTCACCCGTTGCACTTCTGACCTTTTACCAGAACAGAGGCTCATCCTTATGTGTAATAACCTAACTAAAACTATATGTACTATGTTGAATAAATGTTATAATCAAGAACCTCTACTAAAAGCTTAATAAAAGAATATAAAAGTATAACAGACAATTTGAATAACCTAGTTATTCACATAGCCTCGTCCAAACAGCTCCTCAGAATAACCTGCACTTAGACTCTGCTTTCGGTTTCACTTCTGCAAAAGGCACACTCTGCAAACCTGCAATTTCCTGTCAACTTAGTCTTTCTGAAACACACACACTGTTTAAACATCTGAATGCAATATCAATGCTGTAGATAATATTATTAATGCAATGGTAATGATGATGATTATTAACAATAGCAGTAAAATTTCCCTGATCTCCACAATATATATATAATATATACAACTTTATATAAATATTACAAATAAGTACACAGAAAAGGAGTGTATACAAACTACCTACAGATATAAATATTATAATGTATTAGATATTATAACTATAATGTTTAATATTTAAAGGAGAGCACACATTTGTTAAGATTAAAATGTCCATTCTGCCACACTAGATCTCAAGTTCAGCAGTTTTTTGTGGCAATTTAGATTGATCATTTAACCTGTCCCCACCAACTGCATGTCTTTGGACTGTGGGAGGAAGCTGGAGTACCCAGAGAGAACCCACGCAAACATGGGGACAACATGCAAACTCCAGACAGAAAGACCCCGGCCTGATGGTGGAATTGAACTTAGGACCTTCTTGCTGTGTGGCAACAGTGCTAACCCACAATTTGCAGGCAAAATATATGAAATAACAGCTTCTCTCCATTAAAGAAAGTCGGAAGCAAAATGAATTATTCAAATGCAACGCAGAACAGAAAGTATTTAAAAACTGCAGGATTGTATTTTTTGATTTTGTTAAATAAATAAAAAAGTGTAGATTATTCTACATTATTTGGTTACAACTGAATATTAAATTCCTAAAACATTTTTAATGGCAAACTTTTGATTCATTGGATGTTCTTCATGCTTGCTAGTGTACAAATTTAGAAAAAGAAGCCACTGTTAATGTTGACTTATAGTCTTTAAGCAACAGTGGCTGACAAGCAGAGTGTTATTTGCTCAGTAGATGTTAACAAACATAAAATGTTCATGTTACACAAGTGAACAAAGTGCTCACGTGATACATCCTTGCTTACAGTGACTGTGCTCCTGCTAACTGTTCTGCGGCTGCCAAAGATGACAACGTGGCGGAGAAGCTGTGGGAGCTGAGCTGTAGTTTGCTCTCTTTAACGTGGGACTGAGACATTCAGAACTGAAAATAAAATCCTGGCAGTGTATTCTGTTTCTTTATTACCTGATGATTTCATTATAATGTAGGCCACGACAATCTTTAAACACTTCATTTTTATCTCAACAACACAGCTGTAAAACTTTATTCTGCACGCTGCACAGTTCTGACGTTTTATTTGTTCCTTGGAAAGAATTTATTATGGTCACATTTGCCTTTCACTCACACAGTGAAACTGGTAACTACACTGTAATTCTGTGAATAGCAAGTGTAAGATCAGTGGAAAGCTTATAATACTGATTTATAAAAAATTAAAAGAAGCTTAAATATTTGGTTTATCAATGTTTAATACAAGGTTTGTAATTAATTGGATAATATCTGCATGATAATTCATAATAGACTGCAGTCTTGTCTACATTGTTTACAGAAACTTTTCTTTTTACTTTCTGACATTAAACAGACTTATGGAGAGCGTTCATTTGTTTCTGTCTGCTTTCAAAAAGTGTTTAGGTTAATTGTGTTATCGCCAGTATTATATTAGTCAACTGGATCAATATCACCTAAATTTTTACGGCCTCATTAATCCATAAAAGGATTTATAGTCTAGTTTTTTGCAATAAACAGATCTTATAATTGTTAGCTACACACAGTTGTTAATGTAATTTTCTTTACAGTAAGCTTACTGTAAATAACAGTTACAGTTACTTCACTGTAGATAGACAAACACACAGCAAAAATAAATAAATGTGCAGTAACTACTGTAAATGTAAATTTCTGTGAAATCCCGTCAAAGCAAATTTATAGAAAATGCTGTTTCAGCAGGATGTAAAAAGTGCTTACAAATACGATTCCTGTGAATCCTTTTACAGCTAATTACCCGCATCCATCTGCCAGTAAGTTGCTGTAAAATTTACAGCAACCTGTTTACAGTGTCTGAGGCCTTCATGATAACGCTTAAAGTTTAATGGTTATACGTGGCCACAAAAAACTAAACAAAAAGTTTGTTTTTTCACTTTCAATAAAATAAATTTTAATCAGTATGGCTGTTATGCTTTCATGTCTCATTTTGTGTGACAATAAATGTTTTTCTCCAAAAACGAGTGTTTATTTCATTCACCAATAATTGTCTTCATTTTTTTTCTGACGAAAACAAGATAACTATGATCACATGTATTGACAGTTTTGTCACTGAATAAAAATGAGGTCGAATCAGAACTAATTGAGCTGTATAGAAAATCGGGGCGAGTTTGGAAGTGATCAAATCAAAAGTAATTTCCTTGTTCAGAAAGGTTAGACCGGTGTTGTGCCAAACAGTGATCATCTGCAAGAAAGTGATTGCCACCCATGGGAGCGCGCACAGCTGCTTAAAGCTGTAGCGCCCAGATTACTTACAACTACTTCCGTGCAACTGATATAAGGTGCGGTAAGCTGAACACAGCTTCAACTGTCTGTTGAAAAATAGTAACGCGACCGCACTGCATTTTCTTGTTAGTAAGGGTAACAGCGTTGTAATGATAGGAATAGTAATTAGAGAGATTACTCATTACTGTAAAAAGTAATGCCATTAGTAACACCATTACTTGTAACGCTGTCATTCCCATCACTGGTACCAAGACATTGCCAGCGTTAGACAGTAGTAGTGGGTTATTTGGACTTTCAGTATAATACTGTACAATAGTTAAAAAGCTACAGTCTGTGAACTGCGTGTGCACCAATCATTTGTTTTTGTTTTTTTACCTGTGAATCATTCAAATATAAAAACTGACTCGACAAAGAACAACTTTTAAATAGTATCTTAGGCACTTTTTTTGCAAGCAGCCTGTCACAGTAACACATGAGGGGGAGTGCAATTTCCACTCATGGCTGCATTAACATGTAAATACAATTTTGAGGGGAGCGGTCACATTTCAGGTTGTACTAGTCTAAATCCTTCAAAAACAAATGCATAGAATTTTTCAGTACTCACTTTGTGATGTTGCAGTTGGATCAGATACTTTCGCCTAAATGCTACACTTGTTTCATAATCAGCATTTTTATGACTTTACTGCAGAACAGCAAAGTGTTAACACATGCTTTAGATATGACAGACAGACATGAAGTTTAAGGTCAACTTCCAGATAAGAGATTTGACGTTACAGTGTACTGCATTTTCACTTCCTTTTAGCCACACTCACTTCAAAATTCATTTTCCTCATCGTGTGTTTAACCCTGACATTTCCATAAATAGTAGTTATATTGATTGGCTTCTATAATTAGACACTTAAGCAATAATATGTTTAAAGAGGTAGATAGGGCTTTGGTAAAAAAAAAAAAAAAAAAGGAGTACAGTTTATCAACCCTGCTATCAGAACATTTTTCCCTACCAAGGTTTAGTAGGCCACTCTAATGAAACAAAAAATCTTTAATAACTTTTGTATGGTACCATTTTACAGTCTAAACACAACACTCCTTTCAAGACCAACATTTTTACTACTGCAGAACAGTAAAGCTGCAGGAAAATGTTTTGAACAAAAGGTAAGCCTTTATTTATGGCTGCTCAATATTGCAAACAGGTGGAACAGAGAAAACATGGGACAGGAGGGCACAGAGTAGACACCACACAACACAGAGAAGCCAAATAACAAACCCTAAGAACTAGAACTCCGGAAATACTAGGACAGAAACATAAATACTAACAGTGACAACCATGGATAACAAACAAACAAGAAACACAAATTAACCAGATACAAAACACTGGGTCACCGACCCAGGACCGTGACAGTTATATTGATTGTCTTCTAATATTAGACACTGATGCAATATATTTGAAGAGGCAGAAAAGCCATGGTTAAAATCAAAGAGTACAGTTTATCAACCTTGCTATCTGATCATTTTTCCCTCCTGAGGTTTAGAAAGTCACTCTAGTGAAGATATTTTTTTGTTTCAATAACTTCCTTGCCTGGAAGCTTAGTCACTTTAACATGTCATTACTGTTATTGTTGTCTCTCACAATAACAGTTTAAAAGAAATCTGGATCTATGTAGTGCCCTTGACTTATTAGAGGGCACAAATGGATGACGCTGTATTACCCATGCAGGCTTCATCGATGCAATATGAAGTTACATTTCAAGTGAGGTACAGGTCAAGGTTTTCTAGTTACCCACATACCTAGATTACAATTCACCCGTCATAAACTGTTGTTTGGCTATTTCTGCTCTGAGACTGGAAAAAACAAAAGATTTAAGACATTTGTGTATACCTTCAAGTCTATTTTGAGGACTTTTGACTTGTTGACTAGTTGCAACAATATTTACCAATTTCAGCTTTTGGAATCAGTTGATTCCGGAATTACTGATCATCAGTAAAAGTGTTGTTTCCAACATTTCCAACCGCAGACAATGAATCCATGTTAACTGACCATCAACATAATGCAACACTGGACAAACATGAGATGGGTCATCAAAATTTTACACATCACAGGTATGCTCATAGTCTATCCATCCATTTTCTTCTGCTTATCTGGGGCCAGGTCGCGGGTGCAGCAGCCCAAGGAGAGAAGCCCAAACCTTTATCTCCCCAGCCCCCTCCTCCAGCTTCTCCGGGGGCAGCCGAGAGATATAATCTCTCCAGCAAATGGCCAAACTTCTCACCATATCTCTAAGGAAGAGGCCCATTTCCGCCACTTGTATCCGCGATCTCGTTCTTTCGGTCACTACCCACAGCTCGTGACCATAGGTGAGGGTAGAGACGTAGATCGACCAGTAAATTGAGAGCTTCGCTTTTACACTCAGCTCTCTCTTCACCACAACAGACCGGTACAGCGTCCGCGTCACTGCGGCCGCAGCACCAATCCATCTGTCAATCTCCCGCTCCCTTCTCCCGTCACTCATGAACAAGACCCCAAGATACTTAAACTCTCAATTGGGGCAGGAACTCGTCCCTGACCTGGAGTGGTCACTCCACACTTTTCGGGCTGAGGACCATGGCCTCAGAATTGGAGGTGCTGATTCTCATTCCCACTGCTTCACACTCGGCTGTGAAACGTTCTAAGGTGAGCTGGAGGCCATCACCCATTAAGCTAACAAAACCACATAATCCGCAAAAAGGAGAGAGAAAATCCTGAGAACACCCAAGTGGAAGCCTTCCGCCACTTGGCTACACCTAGAAATTCTGTTCATAAAAATCATGATCAGAGTCGGTGGCAAAAGGCAACCCTGGTGGAGCCCATCACCCACAAGGAATGAGTCAGACTTATTGCCGGGTATGCAGACCAAGCTCTTGCAATGGTTGTATAGGGACTTAATGGCCCATAGCATTGGGTCAGACACCCCATACTCCTGGAGCACCCCCCACAGGACCCCCCAAGGGACACGATCAAATGCATTCTCCAAGTCCACAAAACACATGTAGACTGGTTGGGCAAACTCTCATGCGCCCTCAGTATCCTTGAGAGGATGAAGAGCTCATCCAGTGTTCCATTACCAGGACGAAAACCGCATTGTTCCTTCTGTATCCGAGGTTCGACCATCGGACGAACTCTCCTCTCCAGCATCCTGGCATAGACTTTCCCTGGGAGGCTGAGGAGTGTGATTCCCCTGTAGTTGGAACACACCCTCCAACCCCCCCTTTCTTAAAGATGGGAACCACCACCGTGGTCTGCCAATAAAAGGGTACTGCCCCTGATCTCCACACAACATTGTAGCGGCATGTCAACCAAGACAGCCCTACAAGATCCAGAGCCTTCAGGAACTCGGGGCGGACCTCATCCACCCCAGGGGCTATGCCACCAAGGAGTTGTTTAACTGCCTCAGTTACCTTGCCCCCAGAGATTGGTGGATTATCCCCTTCGTTCCCAGACTCTGCTTTCTCCAAGGAAGACATGCCAGTGGAATTAAGGAGGTAAGTATTTCTTCCACCACTTGACAATTTTCTCATTCGAAGTCGAAGTCAGCAGCGCTCTGCCCACACTATACATAGTGCAGGTAGAGCACTGCTTTTGGGACAATCCATGTCCCAATTGCCAGTCTTGGTAGCCGGGGATCGGTCCGCCAGGACCTCGCTCCTGGCTGCTGCCTGGCTCACAATGCACCCGCTCATGGTTATTATAGAAATGTAGTTTTTAAAAAAGGATTTTGCCCTTTCAATTGTATTTAGGGAAATAACTTCACACATCATAAGTCTGATAAACATGCCCCACCAAAAGACACAGACTCAAAACTTTTAACTGACATCTCGCATTTTTTAATTTGATGTTTTTGTGCAGAATTAGTGCAGCAGGATAGCATTCCTCTTGAACGGATATAAATCATAAGCTGTGGGTGGTCTTTGTAACACATTTTCTCTTTTGGTATTTATTTGATGTAGTACATTTATTGTAAAAGTCTTTAACAAGTTTGGGATACAGTATTTCGTATTTAGTAAATTGTTACTATTTCCAGATACATTAACTTCACTCTATTTTCTGAAACTGAAAATTGACAACTTTAAAGTCATATTT